CGGGCCGAGTGAACACCTTTTGGCGCATATCTGCGCCCGAAAACACAGTGACGTCGACTCCGGGCTTGTATTTCGGGAGCAATAGTAGCGAAACGGCGGCCAAATCGCCGAAATGCGTGATCTTATGTATGGGAACCGACGAAGTGGTCGGCGCACCGATCAGACACTGGCTGTTGAGGTTCACCACAAGACAGTCACTGCGGGGCAGATATCGGCGCAGAATCTCCGTGTGATACAGACGTTGCGCGAGTTTCACGTCTTCGCCGAGCGAGCCGTACACCAGCAGACAGACGGCGGGAACCGATCGGAGGTCAGCGGTCATCGAGCGGATAACGTTGGCCTTGAAGTCGTACCGCTCGACCCAATGGACGCGCGAACAGTAGTCCATCGAGTCGTCGGCCATATCTCCGTCACCGCCGGTCGGGTCTCTGATGAGCGACAGATCCGTGTCTTGTGACGGATGGTCGGCGTGGAAGAGGTGGCAGATGTTCAACGATTGGCTGCGATTCGTGGCCACGCGGGTGGCCTCCGAGTGCCACTTGTGACACACCAGACAGCACTGGAACAGCTGTCGGAGCGACAGGTGGCCAAACACTTTGGCCAGAATGAGCTCGTTGTTGAACACACGGGCGCAGAGGTCTTCGTGATAGCGGTTCCCATCGTCTCTGCGGAGGAATGTATTGATTATCACGTGTTGTGATTAAGACAATTGTTTTGTACTTACATTTCAAAGTCCATTGAGTTTTATAGTTATTATTAATTGTAAATAAAATACAAATTAAATAACATTTTTGAATCACAATTAGTGTTGAATTAGTTGTAAATAAAACTATTTGTAAACCAAATGAAAATGCATTTCATTTGTCGCTCAAAACAACACGTGCTTTGTTTGTGTCAATTAAAACGTGCGGCCATTTAAGGGATCAGCTGTTTGTGTGGACACGTGTTAATCAATTGTGATTAAAACGAATGTAATATAAACTCAATTACAATACAAAAGCGTTGAATCAAATCAATAAACAAACGGTTTGTTTGTGTTTTGGAGACCACTCTCACTGTAGAGCCGGTGAGACATACAGTCGACGCCCGGTATTATGAACTCTCATTAATTGGGTTTTATAATTATTGTGCTAATTATGTTGGCATTGATTAAATTAACCATGGTTATCCCACATTTAACTTTGACTTAATTAGTTTACTATTTATTAGTTAATATTAACAAAATTAATGTCTGGCTATTGTATGTGAGTTATATTGTAATCACTTGTATAGTGCTTATGATTAGCCCAAAGATGTCAATAGGAGTACTGTTTTGTAGTTTTTGAAAGTTTTTTTGGTCCCAAAACTGAGGTTTAATTATATTCAAAGAAATTAAGTATTTTTAACAATGCATTCAATATTAATATAGTTATGAATAGACGGACAGTAAGTGATATCAATTGAAAAAGCGATCAAATATTTCATTTGAAATGTCATTTATTTAAACAATTACTTCTCAGTTGTCTTTGTTTGATATTGAATCCATTCCTCGAGTTCTCACATGAATTCATATCTCGCAGGAAATTAATTAAATAATTATTGCCATAAATTGATGATTAAAATGCATTTAATGGAAAAACTAATTCATACAAAGTATTTGAAAATATAAAACAAATGAATAAAAAACTCGGAAAATCGGTATTAAAATTGATAATCAGATGAAAAATAAATAAAAACATTTGTGTCATCTATTGTGTTGGCCGAGCGGCTGAGTGGACGCGTTGTGAACGATCCACACGTCTCGCCACTGACGGGAACGGTAGGGTATTCATGTAATGTATCCAATCCGGATGTCTTATCGCCCTGTGTAGTGCAGCGCTTGAGTCGGGTATTAAACTGAGTCTCCCATCGGCGCCGATAACGGGTCTGACCGCAGGTCTGAGTGAGACCTGTGAGCGATGGCCGCCATGAATGAGATCCGGGCGCTCCTCAGCCACTGGTATTGTTTGCCGACACATCGGACACGACGTGTGCTCTTCCAGCCACTTGTCGACACACGTCGTGTGGAAGCGATGGCCGCAGACCAATGTCTTCTCCTCCCGATCGGTGTCCAACGGATCCAAACATATCGAGCACATGGCTATCGACACTTCGGCCGCCGGTGTTGTGTCCGCTATAATGTCGTCCAGAGTCTGTCCGGCCATCAGTTTCTCGATGAACGACATCCCACATCGGGAACAGCTCTCTTCGGACAATTCCTCCACCATTGCGTTGCATTTATGACAAAAATACTCAATAATTATAACGCTTTCATTGAATGAACACATTTTTGACGATTCAAATGATGTGACTTTGATATCAAAGCGTTTAGGACTGAAATGATTGAAAACTGAAATGAAATGAAAAACTAGTTTTTGTGTTAAACTGATTGTAACTAAAACTAAGTTTTAACCCTTATATCCCATATATAATCCATGGTTTGAAAAAACAGTGAAATACTTGACGAACTAATCTCACAAACACTGGTTTTGTGCAGTTTTGCTGACAAATAATATAAAATTCTTGGTTTGAATTAAAAGTTGAGATGTTTTTATCAATCATTAGATTCGCACAAATTATGGATTAATTTGATTACAATTAATAAAAACATTTCCATAAACAGTGAAATGACTTTTGAATACTAAATGTATGAATGAATTACTGTATTATAAAAGTTGTCAAGTTTTGAATTATTTATAATAACAATTTGTAATCTTTTAAATTAAAAATTTAATTACAATACATTTGAATGCGATATTAGATTAACTTTATTTATATAAGAATTTACAAAATAATTGTCTTTCAACTAAATTATTATCATTAAAATTATATAATTAAATCAACACATGTATAGGATTTGTGAGAATTTCTGTACAATTATTAAAAATGCAAAAATGATGGCCAGTTGTCGACCAAACGGTGTCTATAGTGAACAACTCTACGGAGTCTATAGAGTCTAAGTCTCAGTTGTTACTGTGATAATAATGTGTGCATATACTGTATTTACCATATATTTTTATATTTACGGAAACTAATATATTTTAATTATAATTAACTCATTCCGTATATTCAATATAAATTACAACATTAGCTCGATTTTTAAAAATAAAAATCATTATTTAACTTATGATAATTTGATTGAACACAAACATGGTAAACATCAAGGTAATCTTTAGAATTTGTATTTTGCTATTTGCCCATCAATTTATCAATGTTTTTACTATGAATAGCAATTAATGGTTTACAAAACATATATTAGACTAGTTTTGCGGCAATTTGTATAATGAAAATATTTTTATAATAATTTTGACAAAATATCTAAAAAATTACTAATAATTTAATGAATTAATTAAAATGTAATCATGGTGCTTAATAATAATTAAATGCATTTAATCTAATATTAACTTAAAGTTGTGGATGTGTTGATACATTAGTAGAAGAAGTGATGACAGGATTTGGGACTCATTTGTGGTGACAATGGTTTGAGGCGAGTGTTTGCGGTCGTGGATGACAGACATGACTGACGAGTGGCATCAAAGTTATGATCGGATCCGCTATTGAGACGATAAACACTGATTTTGACACTAATTATAAATACAAGTAATCGTTTGAATAATAATTAGCAAAACTATAAATTATTGGAAAACTTTAGTTTTTAATAAATATTTTATTAA